ATTCGATGTTGTTGTACTCGTGGAATTGAATTAAATTCGTTATGTGTGCGCGCGTGGCTTTTTCCGTTTTTGTGTATTTGCTCGCGTCTCGATGGTTTTATTTCGTCTGACATTTCATATTTCGTCGGGGCGGTATGCGCTTTCCTCGTGCTTGGAGTTTTCATGCAATTTCGCCCAACTATTCGTGCGGAATTAATAGAATTTCGAATAACAAGTCCGCGAAATTAATTTAAATATTTCCAGCGTGCAGTTTCTGATTGTATGTGGGATATTTTATTTTCAATTTATTTAAATGTAACGATTTCCACTATTACATTCGTTTTATTAGAGTATTTGTATACAAATTGTCTAAAGTTTTAATTTTAAGTATTGAGAAAGGCTGGTAATGTAGTTTAGCGCCACCTGGTGATGAATTATATAACTAGAAGTATCATTTAATGTCCATATCAACTTTCAGCCTTAATTTAACACCTTCAAAGTTAAATTTTTGCGATAAAAAGTAGTCTATCACTTATTCTAATTAATAATCTATAATATTGCCAAGTTTTATCAAATTTGCTTCAGTAGTTTTTGTTTAAAAGAGTAACAAACATACAATTTCACATTTTTATGCATAATATAACTCAGAATTATTTTTTATGCCGCCGTTATTATTGATTAACATATAAAAAACGATTTATTTCCCCGCTTCTTTCACCTTCCACTTTTTTTTCATTCCTGATGCTATTTTTAGCTTCCGTTTCGTTTTTTTTTCGTTTTTTTATCATCCAACCAAGGCGGCTGAACGCAAATGATTTGTTCCTGCATAAGCCTACAAAAAGTAATATCACCATTAAAATGAGCACATCGTAAAGTGCGTAATGTATGCATACGCACACCCTGCTCCACCCCTTGGCGTAGGCAGAAAGACATACAGATTATTATTCACGAAATTATGAGTGGGCAGGTTAATGCGTAGAATGTGGATATATATTTAAAGATACAAAATAAGAATAAAAATCACCCCTCGTGTTAGAGAAAACGCAGGAAGAACCCAAATAGTTTAAGCCATCTCTCACAGTGTTCTTAGGGGAGGAAAATTTAGATACTGTTTGCTGGTGCGTGTGGCGTACAGGCTAACAAAAGGTATCAAACTGTATCAAAAGGTATCAGCTTGTTGGGGTGTTTCCAAAAGAAAAGTGATGTTTTGTGCAAACTTCCAAAAGGGAGAAAAGTGTTGGAAAGTATTAAAGTTTAAAATTAATTTTAAGCAGGTAGCGAATAAAATTTGAATAAAATGGGGATAGTAGGCAACTTATTATGCACTTATGTCACATATAATATTTGCTCTGGTACAGATATACGTTTTTACAGTTTAAAATTGATTTTACGCAGTTAACGAGTAAAATTTGTATAAAATGATGATGGTAGGCAACACATTGTACACTTATGTGATACATAATCTAAATTTTGAGATATCCGGTTTTATAGTATTCTTTTTCTTTTTTGTATATTTTGTAGGTTAAAATTAGTTTTAAACAGACTAGGAGCAAAATTTGTATAATATGATGATGGTAGGCAACCCATTATACATTTATGTCATACCTACCCTAACCTACGATAAAGATGTCCGGTTTTCCTGTTATCTTTTTGTTTGTTTCTCTATATTTTGCAGTTTTTCACATTAATTTCCACTGTAATCCATGTATTTATGTTCCGTGCGCGTGCGCAGCGTTGTTTGTTCAGTTATTCATCGGCGGGCGCTGCTGCAGAGCGTTTGTTGAACACGTCGTGAGCACGACGCAGAGTGTTGCAATAATGACGCTCGTTTATCATGCGAATTGCACGTTTTTTATGGGGTGCGAGTCGCGCGCAGGGCATGAATGCATCATTATTAATAATTTGACTCTTTTATGGATACTCACCGCGCTGGTAACATGTGTTACAATATAAAATTGTTACAAAACAAGTTTTAAGTTTAAAATTTTTCTTAAAAGTGTGAAATTTTGAAAAATGAGAGCAATTTTCGACTGGCGCAAGCAAGTCATGAAAGAAAATGAAGTTTTAGAAAAGACGATCACGCCGATTTGTCGATTTCGACATTGGCACACGCTTTAGAGGATGATCAGCAGTTTTATGTCATTTTTCAGATTTCACTCACGTTCGCTCACAATTGCGCGCGGAAAATTGGCACAAATTGACTTTTTCAACTTTTACTTATCATCTATATCTCTATCTATTTATATCTAGCAAAAACCTTTCAAAAATGTTATTAGTCTTATTTTAACCTTAATCAATTTAACGACAAACAGGGTTTGTTCAATATTAATTTCTTCTGTGTAATGACGAAAATCATTAAAAATATTTTAATTTCTAGCAATTATGAGCTAGAATATTTTTCAAAGACATGACATCGATGGTAACATTTGAAATATTGTTGTAATTATGCAACCCAACATACACACAAATTGCAATGCAAATTTCTATAACTTAAGCACGATTTTTCAGCTAATTTGTTGGGGTGCACGTTGCGTTACTAGAAAATCATTTAAACATAACACAAGTGAATACAACTGAGCGACGCGGAATTCATATTTAGACTTCAGGAAATATTTACCGGCATTTTTACCAGAGTAATTGAGTTTATAACCAACTTACAAGAGATTAAACAGTTGCCTATCCACGTAAAATCTCAATATTTTGTTATTTTTGTTTTTCGATGTAAACTTACAAAAATTATTCCACCCTTAAACAGAAAATCATCCTGTAATACCTTCGAGTGAAAGTTCTGTGGTGAAAGTTAAGATCATTAACTGAAAGTGAAATTTTCCTTCCATCCCTACACGTATGCGTTATATCTTCGAATAAGGGTGACATTCTATGACGATGTGACCATCCGCCATTATCCACCATCGCTATCACTATCACGAACCGTATCAGTATAGTTATTGTTATCGTCACTCGCAATACACCCTCCTAGGCAACAAGAAATGACTCTGACGCCTGGAATAAGAACTAAACGGAGCAAAAACAACTTGTACTTTTACTCTCCCCTGGGTACGTCTGCTTTTTACTGATTCTCGTCCTAGGGTGAAATGCAGTTTGCAATAACGTCAGCCAATGATGCTCATGGTCATTCCTAACAGTCAACGATCTGCGAAGAAACTTCAAACAAAGCCAAAATGAACTTGAGTAAAGAATAAAGAATAAGCACGAGGCGGAAAACATCGTAAAATGCAATTGCCGCAATAACGTCAAGTTTTTCGTCAACTTTTACTCCATTTCTGCATTTTTATCACTCTTGGTGTTTAAGCAGATTAAGACTTTATTATTATCTTCCACCAGACTAGTTTTTCTGGAGTTTATTTAAATTTATCGCGAAAATAAAACAAAATTAAACTTTATTCACGCAAATTCGCTGGATTTAATTAACGCAAACCGTGTTTGGCGAGAACATGAAATATTCACCACCACATCACGTCCTGCACCGCATATATATACACGAGAAGGTGTATAAAGGTCGTATAATTTTCAGAAAATTATTTTCTCGGCAAATCCCCGCGTGCAAATAGGCCTTTCACTTGTTCGCGTGTGTTGGTGTTTACATTTATTACATTAGGCCTGTTTTCCACCTTCTTCCAGGCTTTTCATGACTGTTTGAGTAAGCGTAGCGTGTAATCTATCCCTTATGCTTGTTGGTGTGAGTGGACTCGAGTTAAACTCATGCCACATTTCTATTTGAATGGCAAAACGCGTATGGAGTATGAAAAGCGGTTGCGCTACTGCTGCAGGAGCAAAATGGCGGCCGGGATGACAAAGGATAATGCGCGATGTGAGCGCGCAGGACGAGTTACGAGTTGGGATTGAATTAAAAGTTGTGTGTCGACATTGTGTTTTGTTTTGTGGTTGCGGTTTTCTGCTTTCCAAGTCAAAAACACAATTATACAGGGTGTTTGAGTTTTAATTTGAGTAAAAAGTGTTTTTAAAGGTTTTAAGAAAAGGTTTTAGTGATTAGGCATGCTAAAAGGACGATTACTTACAAATCCGCTTTGATATCAATCTCTTAGCGTGCAAGGCGGGAATAGAGGGGGAGATAATGAAAATGTGAAACGAAAAAATCATTCTGCAGGACGACACAAAGAAACAAAGAAAGGTAGATAAGGAAACGAGGAGACATGATGGAAATTGATGCGAGAATTTACGAAAATTAGAAGCGTAATGTTTCGCCAGTCGGGGAAATACGAAAATAAGGATGAAATTAGGACTAAGAAGGACCAAATGGGAATGAAAGCGAGCCGGAAATACGAGTAGGGCTGTTATCACGGAATTGTTTAATTAACTGATTTTTATTGCCGCCGAAAGCATATAAAGATATATTACAAAAGTTTTTTATTTCTTTTATTTTCGTTCTCTAGAAGATATTATGGTGAATTTTCGAACTGTGAATAATTCTTTAATACATTATCCTTTAAACTTGTCTAAGCCTGTGTCTAAATCCAGTTTAGAAACCTTTTCAGGGCGAAACCTTTTTTAAAACCTTTAAATGTTCGTTTCACAAAAGTTCCAGTATCTTTGTTGTGTCCGTTGCGTCCGTTTTTCAACCCCATTTGTGTGAAATCAATTCCACCACAGTGGACAATAAATTATGCAACCCAGAACAATTTTTGCGTTTTCTGCCCGCTGATTTTCTGGACCTTAAGTGTATACGCCACGCGTGTTAGGTGTTTCGTGTATGCTAGGCAACCAAGTATGCAAGCGTGCACACTCGGATGGTTTTCCGCACGAGTTTGCACGAACGCTGTGCGCGCTGCTTTGTTGCGTGAGCCGTGCGCGTGGGTTTTGAGGTTACGAGTTGCCGTTGCGCTTGTTCTTGTCGGCGTCTTGTGTTCGCTTGACGTGATATTAATCATCAATGGAGGTAATAATTAATTATTAGTTGTATCGGGTTTGTGTGTTAAGGTGTGAAACAATCGGAAATTCGAGCTGGTTATTGATTCGTACCTGTTTTGTTTCTGTTGCAGGTGTAATGGCACGCGCCGGGATGGCTCTACGGCGGGGAAACCATGGAAATTCAGAGTGAGTACAAATTTTAACATTTACGTTGTGTATAAAGTGAGGTTATGTTAAATATCACAACACTGCAAGTATTTTAATGATTTTTAAGTCTAAAATCTCAAAACTGGTATATTTTAAGGAAGATTTAACTCCTTCAGGCGATTCTTGACAGTCTCCTGAGAATTTTCCGATTTCCGGTATTCTCTTTGAGTCAAAACGTTGAAATTCCAATCAAGCATTAATTGCTTGACAGCCGGAACCACGCTTCGTGAACCTTGAAAATTCAAAGGACCCGAAGGGACCTTAAGGACCCACAATTCAAAAACATGAATATGTATTCGGGAATCAGGACTTATTGATTGAGGTCATAGTCATAGTCTTCCGTTTTGGTACTATAATTGTGCTGTCTTTGTCAAAATCTTCGCTACCCTATAAGTTGCTTAGTCAATCGAATATTACAACATAAGGGACCGAAGGGCTCTTAAATTACTATGCGTATACAAACATCTGACGAGAGGGGTTGATTATTGAAAGGGGTTGAAGATTTTCTTTGATTTATGAACTCGTTAAGCATAAATTATTTAAGATAACTGAAGGTTTAGGTTAGGTAAATTTTGAGATTTTGTAAATATTTTTGATAAGAACAACCCTTATATACCCTTGATCACCCCTTACTTGGTCTTCTCAGATAACACTCCGATATGATGGTTAATAAACTATTCGTTTACTCGTGGTTTGGTGGTTTCGGTTTTCTTCTACGAAGGGTGTTTTCACGACCCAGAGTATGTGGAGTGTAGGTCCGGGGGTTGTTCGCCGATAAGAGAATGATAAAATCGACACTCGCCTCGGCTCGCAGTAGAAAAGACCATTTATCACGAAACACTTTAACTTTCCCTTCGATTTTCACGTTTTTTCTTCTTTTCTCCACCATCATCCTGTGAGAAACGCCAATGAAGCATCTATTCTACTATGTAGAAAAATTATTATCTCCTCTTAGTATTTTTAGTATTTTTTACCTTTTTCACGGTAAAATAAAGCTAAAGTTTGACATTAAGTAGTAATTTACTCTGCGGGACTGTAGATATTTGCATGCCTAAATAGTTTTAATGCTTTCACTTCTCATCGTCGTCTATTTACCGAAATTGATAGTTTAAGTCAAAGCCGGACGAGTTGAATGAGCCAGACGAGGCTGCATAAAGGGGTAGCTTTGCAATTGTGAGGGGTGGCATGAGAAATAGTTGGTTTAGTCGGTGAATAGTGAGCGGTGCACGGCTCGCATGCATCACGGTTACATTTCACCACTCACCACCTTCAACCACCATCGACCACCTTGGGAAAGTTTAAATTATACACAGTGTTTCAAACACATCAAGATTTAAATTTTGTTCAAAATATTTAGTATTTCGTCAACACTCTGTATAATATACTAAGATGGTTGGGTTGGGTTGTTACTTCTGGCAGTGCATGTTTACGTCTGTTTACGTCTGCTCGCATCAGTTAAACTCAGTTTACGTCAGTGCAGCAGCATTTGTTCACCCTTCAACCCCTGCGAAATTTACGGCGATTAATGAATGGCTCTCACTATAGTGAACATCGTCACATGTTACATGCACGTGTGTACAACTTTTCCTTTCCCCCTCCATTGAATTTGATATTTTGTGTTATTTGGGGATGTTGTTGAGGATTCTAAGGACTTTCTATAATATTCCAAGATGTTGTACTTCTGTCTGTTTCTGGGAATTAGTCTAAGTACTACAACTTTGCAACCCCAAGCCTGACAACCCCAAAAACGATGTTTGGACATTGATCAGTTCAAAGTCTCGTCTGATCCCATGGAATGCTAAGCTCGGTTGCTGTGGAGTGTCGGAGGGTTGTTTCTGAGGATATGCCGGATGTCGTAGGATGCCATACTTGAATGTCATGTCGGGCGTTTAAGGACTTTGTACGTTTTACCCCAGAGAGAACAATTTTTCATTTTGTCAAATACTGCTGCTTGTCACGGACAGGTGTTTACCCTGCCCCCTAATTTTTATTCACTGAAACTTTCTATTTTATTTAACTAATGGTTTTTCTGTCGTGGTATTATCTACTCCATCAAAAGAAGATTTTTTCGTGTTCGCTTGTGACATGTCCATGGGGATTTAAATCAAAATGTCCTTGGATTCGTAGAACCTGCGACATATTGTGGTCATTTGCAAGACATCAAGCACATCGAAGAGGGATGATGTTTAGCAAATTTCGGTTTCATCCGGAGGCCGGCAACCGGCAACCTTTTGCCTAAACATTTCCTTTTTTACTCGCCCCGCACACTTTTGTCCGGTATTCTATTCGAGGGGATGTGAAAATATCTCGACTTTAATGCGTCAGGGAGCTTTCTCTAGCCAGCGGAATATTGAAAGGCGTTCACGTTCGCATCCTGTAACGACGTCAGATCGCGTCCGAAAAAGGGATGAGTGGACGAGGGGATGATTTTTAAGAGGCTTTCGGCGGAAGGGCGCGCGCGTACTGAAAGCTTCAGTTTACAGCGTTCGGACACGTTTCGTGCACACGCGACGAAAGCTTGGAGCTGGCGAAAAGGTTTTTGAAACGTGTCGGGAAGTAATTTCATATTTTATTGTCGAATTCAATTCCACACAAAAGTTATACAAAAGTCATACCACATTTCATTCAATCAGTGAGTATTTAATGTTATGCAACCCTACTTACACGTATTCAAGGTTAAGTGTATACGTAGGCAACCAAGTTACAAGTTTTGATTAAAAATTGCATATGTTTAACTTTGCAATCTTTTTTCTCTGTAACTCGCTGAGTTGTTGGAATGTTGGCGTGTTTTGCACGAATGAAACTTTAACTAGATTCTCCAACACTCGCCAGACGGTGTGTGCGTTTATTGCGCATAATTTGCATAAAAGCTTTCCGCGCCCAGCAAAAGTGCTTGCTGAGTTTTCAGTTTTTCTTTTTTCATGCTAGATAAACACAAAGAAGTGATAAAAACTAAATTAAAATCGTCTGGACAAAATAAACGAAATATTTTAGATTAATTTACTTTTTCGTTTGCTTTTTTGTATTGATATGTTGTTGTCATGTGAAACTCTGGAGGTCAAATAGTCATCATTCTAAAGCTTAATATCGCGTGGAATTAAATTACTTTCGCCTTCGAGGAGCCGCGAGTGACAATGATTTAGTGTCAATAAAACGTCCGGTTTCCCATTTCTCCTCGGCGCGCTTTCAATTTCCTTGCGATTCGCTCCGTGTACGAAACCTTTCTTTAACTGTTGAGGTTTATTCGCTTTTTTTGTACAAGCAGAGGGGTTATTTTTCGTCTCGACAGTCCAGTTTCAATACGTTCAAGCTCTTTACAACGTTACTTTCATTGACAAACGCGTAATATATTGCTTGAAGATGAAACAGAAACAGAAAACAGAAAAACACACAAAAAACGTTTTGTGCAGTTTAAACGTTTTTTACGTCGCAAAATCTAATAATTGAATAGTCTGATTGCGATAGCGATTGAAGATGAAGTCTATTCACATGAGGTTATGTTGTTGTTGTTTTTTTGTAGGTTATGTTGGTTATGTTGGTTAGTGTGTATCCGGTACGTCCAAGCGTCCTGTTTGAGCAGTTAAACGAAATGCTCGTTTCGCAGCGCAGTTATTGCTTCTTCGATTGCGATTGCCTCTCGATTGTTGATTTAGGAGCGCAATAACGCCCGCCGACAAACGACGTACACTCTCGCCGACCCGAGCGAGCGGCAGCGCGCGTTTTATGTTGTTCGGTCCGGCAAATAAATAACGCGCATTGATTACGTGGATAATAAAATTAAACGACGAAATCGTAAATCACACGCGCAAAGTACAATACAACTCATGCACACATTTTTTAAATTTTTTTTTATTTTTTAATATTTACATTTCTTCAGTGTGTATATTAAGTTGCCTAGCTTAGTGCTATTAAGGTAGTACTTTTTTGTGTTTATTTTTTTACTCTGTTGTAAGAGGATCTGAAGCTTACAAGCTTAAAATGTTGCCGGGAACTTGCGAGTCCCTCAAGTCGGGGAGAGGAAAACGACTGAAGCAACTGCAGCAATCTCGCACTAATTAATTAATTGCCGAGCACTTAGCGCGAGCTTAAACTCGTCTTCTATCTTCACCATCTGCATTTATCAACTTTTTACTCTGTGTGTGAATTGTATGTTTGGTTGCCTATAGTTGCAAGTCGTTATGCAACTGTTTCAACATAAATTTCCAACATATTTTTTCGTTTAGTTTTGTTTAGTATCCAAAACTTTTTAGGATATTTGATTTGTTTTAGGCGTTTGAGAAGTTTAACTGAACTTTCCTGCGGTTGTGTGCTCAGGGTGGGTTTTAGGTCGGCTTGGAAACAGTTTGGGTGTAACGACACGCTTCGAGTTTATCTTAATTACATCCGCGTCCGTTTAACGACGTCGCGACGTCGCCATTCGCCCATCGGCTGCCGGTGGCCGTCAATCAATGCGCAAACACGAACCAGTCTTCGGTGGGGGTGGGTGGATGGCTGCGGGGTCACCACCTCGACGGCGCCTCTTAAAATAACGCCGAACTTTTCCGCCCTCACCGCCGCCGCAAAACTTCGTAAAGTTAAAATGAAAGATTGCGAACGCGTAAAAATCGGATCGCATGCCGCGGTGATAAAATGTAATGTCTAATGAAAAATTTCTCATTTATTTTTCTTCCTGCGACGGTTGTAAAATAAAATTACAAAGAAAAACGCCAGAAAAAAACAAAGAAAACGAAGATTTTTATAATTTATTTATTTTTTCTTGTTTTTGGACGTGATGATGATGATGTCAGCAGAAAAGGGAAGAAAACTTGAATTGTCTGTAACAAATTGGAAACCGGAAAACTTTATAGATTGTCTGGTGGTTGAGACGAGGTTGCAAGAAAGGGTTGTAAACCGTAAACCTCAAAACTGCCAATGTCGCTGATAGATCTAATACGTACAATGGTTACAGATTCCTGTAAAATAAAGTTTTTAGGTTATTT